CCGTCCGAAAGGTCTAAAACTCGAGCGCCCCCGCATCGACATGGGCGTGGAAACTGAGACGTGGAACACCTTCGTGCGCCGGTGGGAAGCATTTCGTCGTGGATCGGAGATTGACGACACTTCGACCCCTTGGCAGCTACTCCAGTGCGCGAGCGACGCTCTATTCGACGTCATCCTCAAATCAGACCCTTCCATCATGGACAAATCCACCGAGCAGATTCTAGCGGTAATGCGCGCATTTACCGTCATCCCCGTCGCCACCGGCGTCCTTCGTGCCGAGCTGGTACGGATGCAACAGGGCGCAGACGAGCTCTTCCGCGCATTCGCGGCGCGTGTTCGTGGCAAAGCGGAAACGTGTGGCTTTAGAAGTAAATGTACGTGTAACTGCGGATCGACCATCGAGGACGACTACACCGACGAGATGATTCGTGACGTCCTCCTCGCCGGCATCCCTGACATAGACAATAGACATACGCCGTGAGGCGCTCGCCGCTGAGGATATTCAAAATAAGGCTGTGAACGACGTCATTGCCCTCGTCGAGAGCAAGGAAATGGCACGAAATGCTCTTCCATCGTCGTCGTCTATCTCGGCTGTGTCCACATTTAGACGCACCAACGCGCCGCCTAAAGTCGACCCGCCACCGGTTGCCGCCAAAGCACCAGGAATCCGGCACCTGCCGGCTGACAGACAGCAGCATGCGCCGGGCCCTGATTGCGGCAAGTTATTCTACCTGCTCACTGAGAACGCTTTCGGCTGGAACTCAAAACCCCACAAGCAGTGTATCGATTGCTTCCGTGCAAGCCGTCGGAGGGGGCGCGGTAGAGGGCGTGCTACTACACCCGCAGCAGAGGCAAATCCGCTGGCAGCAACACCCTCGTCCTTGGTCGCTCATGTCTCGGCATGCACTGCACCTGGCAACGGATCCCCGTCACCGCGACGACGTTGCTGCCGCCACCGCAGCCCAAGGTTGTTCTCCTGGAACATCAGATATTCCGTGCTGGGGAATGGCGTCGTGCCCACCTAGCAGATTACCCACGCGTCGAGGTTGCTATCTCCATGGAGAAGCATGGGTGCAGTGGACCCTCGTCCCACCGCAAAAGTGTTGCAAGAGCCATCACAGACACCAGGGCGCAGTCAAACTTTTGGTCACTCCACTCGTACCTGGATGCCGGCTTCTCCCAAAGCGACCTCTTGCCAGTGAAGCTTGGGCTCAATGCTGCTAACTCCTCGCCCATCGCCATTGACAGAGCGATTTTCGCTTGCCTACAGGGCCGAGCACCAGATGGCACCAATATCACCGCTCGCTCCATGGTGTACGTCAGCCAAGATGTAACTGATCTCTATCTATCCTACGAGACCATGCTGGATCTAGAAATCATTAACAGAAGCTTTCCGTCGGTTGGTGGCGCTCGGTCGGGCTCAGGGGATGCGCAATCTGCGGCGACGTCTCCCTCTATTAACCCAACCCGTGCCCTCAACGCTGGCTGCGGTGCACAACACGATGAGGACATCACATGCAGTTGCCCTCAGCGCAGTGCGGTACCTAAACGCCCGGAAACCTTACCGTTCCCCTGCAAAGCAGAAGACAACAAGAAGATGAAGCAAAGGCTTCTCGACCGCTACGCTGCATCAACTTTCAACACATGTCCTTATCGACCACTTCCGTGCATGGCCGGCCCACCAGTGGAGATTCACCTAGAATTCGGCGAACAACTACGCACGTGTCACACGGCCGCACCGGTGCCGTTGCACTGGCAGCAAAGAGTGTACGAGGACCTGATAAGGGATGAGGCCTTGAGCGTGATTGAGAAGGTCCAGTATGGTGAACCAGTCACCTGGTGCCATCGCATGGTGGTCACGCGCAAGCATGACGGAACCCCACGGCGCACTGTGGACCTCTCCCCCTTAATAAGCACTGTAAACGGAAGACCTTCGCGTCAGAATCGCCTTTCCACCTCGCTCGGCGTATCCCACGGTAGACCTGGAAGACCGTCACTGACGCCTGGAACGGCTACCACTCTGTGCCTCTTCGTGAGTCGGACCGTCATCTGACAACCTTTATCACGCCGTTTGGACGGTGGCACTATATGGTTTCTTGTCGTCCGGTGATGGCTACAACCGTCGATTCGATGCCATCCTCTCCGACTTTGAGCGGAAGGAACGTTGTCTCGATGACACAATCCACTATGGCGCCGACCTCGAGACTAACTGGTGGAGGACCATAGACCTCCTCGCGACACTCGGTGCTGCCGGTGTCATCTTGAACCCAGACAAGTTCCAGTTTGCCGGGTGGGAGGCTGACTTTGCTGGCTTTCACATTTTGGATGACTCAATTAAACCACTACCCAAATACCTAGACGCCATTCGCCACTTCCCGATGCCGACCTCAACGACTGACATCTGCAGCTGGTTCGGCCTTGTCAACCAGGTCGCCAACTACGCACAGCTTCGCGATGTCATGGCGCCATTCAAACCCTTCCTGAGTCCGAAACAGAAATTCTACTGGACGCCTGAGTTGGAAGCTGCCTTCACCGCCTCAAAGGGAGCAATCGTACAGGCGATACGAAGTGGCGTTGAGATTTTCGACACTGGGAAGTGCACTTGCCTCAGCCTTGACTGGTCCACTCGGGGGATCGGATATTTCCTGCTCCAGCAACACTGCATGTGCACATCAGGGCTGCCGGACTGCTGCATAGACGGATGGCGGATTACGCTGGCAGGGTCACGCTTCCTGTCCTCTTGTGAGCAACGGTACGCACCCATCGAGGGCGAGGCACTGGCTGTTGCCTGGGGTCTTGAGCAGACCCGCTACTTCACCCAGGGGTGCGACGACCTGGTCGTGGTGACGGACCACAAACCCTTGGTCAAAATCCTGGGAGACCGAACCCTCGACGAGATCTCAAACACACGTCTGTTCCAACTGAAGCAGAGAACCCTGCCTTGGCACTTCCGTATCGCACACCTACCTGGCAAGACGAACTTTGCTGCCGACGCGACATCTCGTCATCCATCCCCATCCAGCGAGATGGCAACTATCGGTGTGGGAGACATGGTTGAGCCAGCGATCTCAGCGGCAATCCGACGTGAAACTGAGGAACTGTCCTCTATCTCTTGGCAGCACATTGCCATAGAGTCCGAGAAAGACGATTCTATATCCGCCCTTTGCCGTGCAATTGAGAATGGATTCCAGGAAAGTGACCGCTTCCTCCCACACGTTGCGCCCTATTGGCAATATCGTGACGTCCTCTACGTCCTAGACGACGTCGTTGTGTATGAGAGTTGTGTTGGGGTGCCGCCATCACTCCGCCGTTCCGTGCTGGAGAACTTGCATGCAGCTCACCAGGGCGTGTCGTCCATGGAACTTTGCGCAAGAGCCATGATCGTCTGGCCTGGCATCACTGCCGATACTCACAAAATCCGTGCGGAATGCTACGAGTGCAACAAGAATGCTCCTTCCCAAGCACTTCTTCCGTCCACGCCGGCAACACCACCATCCACACCGTTTGAAGCTGCGTTTGCAGATTTCCTCGATTTCGGTGGGCACCATTACCTCGTGGTGGGAGACCGCCTCTCTGGATGGGTCGAGATTTTTGCGTCCCCGGTGGGATCGCCACGGGCAGGAGCTATGGGCCTCATTGCAAGTCTTCGCGCATTCTTTGCGACATTTGGGGTGCCGGAGGAGTTATCCAGAGACGGAGGGCCGGAATTCACCGCCAGCGCCACTCTCGACTTCCTCTACCACTGGGGCATCAGCCACCGAGTCTCATCCGCTCACTACCCTCAGTCAAATGGGCGGGCGGAAGTGGCCGTGAAGTCAGCAAAGCGTCTCCTACGGTCAAATGTTGGTCCGAGAGGCGTGTAAGCCAATGACAGGTTGCTACGTGCGCTGCTGCAGCTCTGCAACACCCCGGATCCGGACTGCAACGTTTCACCAGCCCAGCTCTTCTTTGGGAAACAGCTGCGTGACTCATTCTCTTTCGTGAACCGCCTGGAGAGGTACTCGAATCCTTTTGTCTGCCCGGAATGGCAAAAGGCATGGCACTCGAAGGAAGTCGCGCTACGAGCGAGATTCGTGAAGTCGTCTGAGAGCCTGAATGAGCATGTGCGCCCCCTGCGTCCCATACATGACGGCAACAGGTGCTTCATCCAGAATCAAGTGGGGAACTCGCCAAAGCGATGGGACCGCACCGGCACGGTCGTCGAGACTCTTGGCCACGACCAATACCGCATTTAAGTGGATGGGTCCGGGCGCCTCACCACACGGAACCAGAAGTTCCTCCGAGCATTTGTTCCGGCTTCTACCGAGATCCAGGAACGGGACCATGCAGGACCATCTATGCCGTTGCTGGCACCACCAGCTCTCAAACCGCCAAATGCTGCCCTGCATTGTCCTGGTCTTTCACACGCTGCCCCACGCGATCCGTGCACGGACACGCCGTGTGTTGCGCCGCCGAGTTCTTCCGCACCACATGAAAGGCCGACAGATGACGATCTCCCAGCAGCCACTCTATCGCTGCCTACCCTGGCCCCTGCATCGCCTCCACATGGTCAGCCGCCGCCACTCAGCAATGCTTCGCCTCCCGCGCCATCACTGCGCCCTCGCCGTGCGATTCGCCAGCTTCGCGTCTATGAACCAGAGACCGGCCACTGGATTTCTACTTGAGTTCGCGGCGTTGCCCCCTCGAACTGGGGGGATGTACAGTTATGGGATATTGTCCAGTTAGTTATATTAACAGAGAGAGAGAGAACTCCGACAGTTATCGTTATACTGTATTGACATTAGTTCCCTTTCATTTATTTCAGCGTGTCGCTTACATTTTCTAGTGATATAAAACTTCATTCAAGAAACGAGTTCTTCTTTACATATATATATATATATATATATATATATGTATATATATATATATATATACATATATATATATATTATATATTATATAATATATATATATATTTATTTATTTATATATATACAGTGCGTGAGTGCGTTCTATTGCAGGTAGGATCGCGAAGCCGGCGAGCTATCTCCTAGCGCATCCAGACGTGAGGGTATTCGCCAGCGGAACCTCGTTCTTCGAGCAGTGTCTCTCCAACAATTCCCTACAGTTTGGCTTCTCATCCGCAGCAATGGACAACCTATCGCGAATGTGAGCACAGCAATACGCACACACGCACGTGAGCGCGTACGCAGATACACGCACAGACACACGCACGCACGCACGCACGCACGCGCGCGCACGCAAACACACACACACACACACACACACACACACACAACACACACAACAACACACACACACACACACACACACACACACACAAGCACGCACGCACACGCGCACGCGCGCGCGGCCGTGCATGTACTGGAGTTTATATGTTTATTTGTTTGCCTCCGTCAGGCCGTGTACAATAACAGGGGCGCTGCATGCTGCAGCCATCACCGTAGCCGAGGAACGAGAGATGTTCAGACGCCAGGCGGCCGACGATTGGCAGACCATACTCGTACATAGGGCCAGAGAGCTGCGACCAGGTGAGCTGGTGATGCACGAGATATCGGTTGTCGCTGCCTGCATGTAATATTGGGTTTAGCTTTTAGTTATGTGTTGCCTACTTCTGGTTTTATCAATGTTCCTGTGGTATCCTATTATTAGCTAGGTTACCTAGATTTGTTACGGATAAAATTAATAAATGAAATTTTATATTGACTTTCGCCCAGATTATTAATATTGACTCAAAATGAATCTGTAAAGCACGCAACTGATGCAGGAATTTCCCTACTTTTCCCATAATTTCCTTCCGAATTTGTTTCTGAGTTGACCGATACAAACGATCACGTGCAGCTACCATCTGTGACGTATACGTCCGAACTTCCCCGGCGTTGCAGGTACCACAGTGCTAGATCATTTCGCACTGGCGGACATACTACTAAGAAAAATTCCCCATAAATCAGTAGAATTTTTTTTTTGAAAAATTACAATGCCATCCTCTGAATCCACGTCGCAAGTGACACCATATATGTTGTTAACTCAAAAATTCTTCCACAATTTTTTCTGTAAAAAAGCTTAACCCGGCACACACGCGAAATACATTGCCACTTTGCAATGTGATTTCACGCAAAAAATCGGCTTCCTATCGAAAATTCTTCGGCCGCCCCACCAGTGTACCCCAAACAAGCCACTTACACTGTCGGATTTAGCAAGGATTCTAGTTTCTGAAATTAACAACTGCAAAGAGTTCTAACCCTTTTATAATGAGAAATAAAAAATTTAGGTGCACGCATACACTGAAAAACTATCTCATTCCTGTCCCACCGCTCATTGGCTGATTTGCCACCGTAATATCTGCAGGTGGAAGACTCGTGCTCATATTAGGTGTAGTCGACAGGGAGAACCAGTATCTAGGCAACACCAAAAACGTCAAGTGCAACTTGCTGGAGTATATGGGGAGGAATTGGCGCGCCCTGGTGGAAAGGGGAGTTATTACCGAGGTACAATCAACTCTGTTTGCTATAGTGCTAACGGGAACAGGAAATATGATATATGTATATATTATATATTATATATATATATATATTATATATATATTATATATATATATTATATACAGTATATCAGGGGTTATTAATGACAAATGTCATTGTCATTATTAACAATGTCATTTGTCATTCAACATTGTCATTTTTGTCATTATTAACCCCTGATATATATCATATTACAATGAATAGAATATGGTCACCGCATTGTCCGCGTTGTTTCGTGTAGGAGGAGTTCCAGAACACGGGCCTTAATAGTTACCTGCGCACCGAGGATGAGTTGACGGCCCCGCTCACAGACATTGAGTCTCCCGTTCACAAACTCGGACTCCGTCTAGTGTCCATCGAAACCAAGGTCATCAACTGCTACTTCCATTCCCGATGGCTCAAGAGTGGCAACGACGGTTCGTTTCCGTGCAATTTCATTTTGGTTTAAATCTTATAGATCTTTTATAAAATCTCTTATAAAATCTCTTAAATTTAATTCGTTTTCGAGTTCTCACGCAATACTATTAGGTACAAACTCTTTCTTATCAAAAGAAATAAAAACCCGAGTGACTGCGCAGTTCGAAAGCCGAGTTTAATGCGAGCGATCCTTGTGGTTGGAGTCGGAAACGCCATTCTAATATGAATAGTATTAGGGCTGTCTCTATAGCTTCAATATCGAGTTTTTTCACCACCAGGTGATGCCGCTGCTGCCCGCGCGCACGCAGGATTGTACGTGCGTTCGATCCGCATTTGGGGGAACAGCATGCTTCAATCCGGTCTCTCGGATAGTCGCACGCCCGAGGAAAAAACGAACATTGTCGATTCGTTTTTCCAGAGCTACGAGGATGAGGTCACGCGTTGTCCGAGCGATCACGCTAAGAGCTTCGTGCACGCTTACATGCACATCAGAAAGTGCGAGTGATAGCAGAACAGATGATCGTGCGTTTTAGGCGGCATACAACAGTAACCTTAGGCAAATTATCCACTATTTCGTCTCTGGAAAAGGGCTTCTGTTAGATTTTTTTTCGGTATAAATCGGCACTAGAGTGCACTAATTTGCATTATGCACGCAGGATAGATGCCCCGTGAACGTCTAGAAGGTATTGGGAGTGAGGTTGGTCTTGTCGTGTAATTATGCAATTCCGTTAAGTGGCGTATCCATGGTGACCGGTCGTCCATTTTTGTGTTAGAAAAGGGATCCGACTACTTTGTAGAAATGCGCATCATTTAGCTGGCAAACGTTTCGAGCGGAGTATAGAGCTTGAATCTGGTTATTTAACACTTGCCAACAATGTAGCGATTCTGAGACAAAGCAAAAAGCATCCAGAGAGACCGGGTACAAAATGGCGTTGCGCAAAAGATGCGTTGTTCCCCGACCGCCGAGAGCGGTTAAGCCGCGCACTTCCGCGGGACTGGGCGCACGCGACCACGGGTTGTTGTATGTAGCATCTCGCGCTGCCCGCTATACGAATTCGCGAGCCGAAGGAGGGCGGGCGCACGAATCCGTATAGCGGGAAGGGTAACATCGCGCAGTTTTCGTCACACGTACACCGACTTGACTACGGCGGCGTTGGGGGGGGAGGGCATTTGCTGCTGCTGCTGCTTTGCTGCTCCAGGGCCGCGCTGCAGCAGGGACCTGTATTGTTTGCTGCTGCTGCTGCTTCGCTTCTGCATGGGCCAGTATTTCTTGCTGCTGCTGCTATGCTGCTGCATGGGCGCGCTGCAGCAGGGGCCAGTATGTACGTGTACGTAGGATTAGCTACGTGTAAAAATGTATTTCATGAAAAAATAATTCTGTAAGGAAAAATGTAGGATGACCTGAACTACACGCACGTATCAATCAAAACCATATTGCGCGTTTTACGTCATACATGCGCAAGCCATATTGTATTTGTTTGTGAGTAGTAGAAACAGCTAACTGGTTGTTTTCCTGTCATTGCTCAGCACACGTCGGTAGACAAACATCCAAAATATAAGGTCATCCATCTCAACGTCGATTTTCTTGCTTGCTTATTCAGATTCTTTCTACTTGAAAAAAAATCATTTTATGGATGACTGTAGTTTTTAGTATTCAAAGTTAGGGTGGCCTCCACATGTCTAAATCCGGCCCTGGCTAGGGCACTCTCTATGAGGTGGGGTACAGATACGTACAGGGGGACGGGAGAAAGGGGGGCGGGGAGCGGGAGTAGGGAGGCCAGTGGGCGGGAGGATTGAGAAAAAGAGAGCGAGAGAGAGAGAATACTAAGTAGAGAAAAATAAAAGAAATCCATAGCACGAGAAATAAATACATGAGAAAATACATTGTACAGGATAAATGCATTTATCACGTAAAGTGATGTGCATACACGCGCAGTTCGCGCGCAGAGAGGAATCATAGTTACGTCAAATATCACATCCTCGCGCCATCTATCGGTAGAAATAATTCATATGCGCACATTGTATGTAACCGTAAAATGCATTATTAGCCGTGAAATTCCCATCCTACACTTCGATGTATGTATTTCAATTCATGATCAAATATGACATCCCCGCGTATGGCAAGCCATTCTCTTCAAAACTGAAATCAGGAATAAAAACAACACAAGTATATGAATAGAAACAATACTTTGTAAAATTGAAACGATACTTCAATAACTAGAAAACGCACTGTCAAATGGAAAATGCTTTTGTAAATGAAAACAACACAAGTACGAATAGAAACAATACTTTGTAAAATTGAAATAACAAATTGTACAATAGAAAACCTGCCTTTGCGACTATGCACAACTCTGAATGGAATACACAGTTATGTGAATAAAAAACACGAACGCGAATAAACAGATAACGCGCTCGCGTAGCAACGACCTAGGAGGGCCTATATATATGGCGTGTCACAGAATAGAAACAACACACAAGTCCGAATAGAAAGAACGGAAAGGCTTCCAGATTTCGCCGCTTGGTGGTGTGCTTGTTTGCAACACAGTCTCTATGACAACGCGAGGAAGCAGAGGCGTGTTCAGAGGCATGTTCAGGAGAGCGAGCGCTCGATGAACGAACGCAGCGCCTCCTGAACGACACAGCGAGCGTCCGCTTCGCTGCTGGCGCTCGCTTGATCAAAGATGGCGGCCCCATGGAGGGTTACTCAACAGATTTTAATCGCGGAGAAACAAGTACTGTTAAACGATTAGGCAGACGAAATTGATACAAATGAATTTAGAAGTAAATGAATGAATGAAAGTGAAATAAAGTTGAAATAGATTGCAAATGAACGTCAGAATATGTTAGATTCGCATTCGCCAGATTTTTCGTCGCACATCTTGTAAACAACTCGCGCGCTGAGCGAACAGCTTTTCAAACTTGCGCGCAAACGCTCGCGAGCGCGTGCGTTCGAGGGGGGTCGCGGTCGCGGGTTCGTCTGAACACGCTCAGGAGAGCGACGCTCGAATCGAACGCTCGCTGCACGAACGCAGGCCTCTTGAAGAAACACGAGCGCTCGCTGTGCGCTCGCTTGATCAAAGATGGCGCCCCCATGAAGGTTACTCAGCAGAGATTTTAATGTCTTCGAACAAGTACTGTTAAACGAATTAGCAGACGAAATTGATACAGAATTGAATTTAGAAGTAAATAATGAATGAAAAGAAATAAAGTTGAAATAGATTGCAAATTGACGTCAGAAATGTTAGATTCGCATTCGCAGATTTCCGTCGCCATCTTGTAAACAACTCGGCGCGTGAGCGAACAGCGTTTTGAATCTTGCGCGCAAACGCTCGCGAGCGCTCGCGAGCGCGAGTGTGCGTTCAGAAGGCCGAGCGCTCGCGAGCGTTCGGTCTCCTGAACAGCGCCTCGGTACAGGAGATAATTTGCATATCACTTCCAGCTGTGAAGAAGATGGTGAAGGAGGAGGAAGGGGAGAAGAGAAGGTGTGTGAGAAGCGAGGAGGGGAGAAGCTGTGGAGAAGGGGAAGGGAAAGGGAGAAGGTGTGGAGAAAGAGGAGGGGAGAGCTGGTGTAGAAGGAGGAGGGGAGAAGGTGTGGAGGAGGGGGAGAAGCTAGTGGAGAAGGAGGGGAGAAGCTGGTGGAGAAGGAGGAAGGGAGAAGGGAAAGGTGGTGGAAAGGAGGAGGGGAGAAGCTGGTGAGAAGGAGGAGGGGGAGAAGCTGGTGGAGAATGAAGAAGGGAAGAAGGGAGAAGCTGTGGAGAAGGAGGAGGTGGTGGAGAAGTGGTGGGGTGGGAGAAGGGAGAAGGTGTGCCAGGCAGAAGGCACCTCCGCCACCTCTCCACGCACCTCCCTGCACTTCTCCACGCACTCCTCCTTCTCACCACGCTCTCCCTTCTCACCACCGATCCTCCACTCGCTTCTCCCCTCCTCCTTCTCCACCGACTTCTCCCCTCCCCCTTCTCCAGCCCCTTCCCCTTCTTCCCTCCTCCTCCCTCCGCTTCTCACCAGTCTCCTTCTCCACCGCGATACATCTGATTGGTTATAACACAAACCACGTGACAAAATATGCAAATTATCTCCTGCTAGCCGCCTGAATATAGACAAACCCTGAAGCGAACCAGCCTTTCAAACTTGCGCGCAAGCGCTCGCTCGCGCTCGCTCGCGCAGTGTCGTTCAGAAGGCGAGCGCTCGCGAGCGTTCGGTCTTCCTGAACACGCTCAGGTGAGTGAAGGTGGTTGAATATCAGAATAATACACCAGTCTCAAATATTATTCATGACCTGGGGTCATCGCACGAAAACGAGGCGAAGCTAGGCAATTTTGTAAACAATGGCTGCTCAGCAGCAGGCACGCACAGAAGAGTACACGCACGTACACGCGGGTACAGCGGAGATAAACGCACGTACAGCGCACGTCACGCACGTACACGCGGGTACACGCATAAACACGCGGGTACACGCCACGTACACGCGGGTACACGCAACGTACACGCGACGCCCGTACACGCAGATACAGAAGGCCTCTAGCCGTCCGATCGCGAAATGTGGTTGATTCGCCCAGTTTTCGCGAGTTCGTTTTTAGAGGCGATTCAGGTTAATCTGTCTTAAGAGGACAATAAGGGGGCGGCGTATTCGCTGTGGGGCGCGGCTTCACCGCGCGCTGTGCGCTGCTCGCAACTACGGGCCGCATGATCGGACTAGGGCGCGTGGGTCGTGGGACGATGGTACGCGCATAGCACTGCGG